CTCATTGCACCCTGGTGCCAACCATGTCGTTGAGGATTTTCCTCCTTCTCCTTGATCTCCACTTTAGCAAACACGGTGTACTTCTCTAGCAGTGACTCTTTCCTGAGGTGTGTCCAATGTAGGCAAAGTCTCACCAATCTCGCTTCTAATGAGCATCTCCCTGGCTTACGTCCACCAAGGCAGATTGGTTCACAGTAGATTCCATACCCTATTCATAGTATATTCCAGATACTCCACCAACATGATAATTCAAATGTGTCCATTCCTCGTCAGTCTTCCTTTCCCTTGTCCACCTTTCCCATGCACATAAAATGACTGCAAATACGACTTGAGTTAGGGGGCACATTTCAGTCATCAAAGTGACTTTTCAGGTTTTAACGAAGTCTTTTGAAGCAGATTTACTCCATGCTATCTGTCCTTTGAGTTCCTGATTGCTACTTACATGGGCATAAATCATTGCCCAAGTAGAATAAAATTCTTAATAATTTCGATTCCCTCACCATGTATCACATTGATTGGTGCAGAGATGAGGATTTTTGCTTTTATCCGCAGGTGCAGTTTGAATTACAGTGCTGGCAGAGAAAATGGAAGCTACCACAAGCTGCCAAACACAGACAAATCTATCATGGGAAAAGGACTGCTAGATACTCCTTGGAGGCAAGGATGGCGAGACCTCCTGTCTCATGTTCTCGGGGCAAGTTGTGAGGAGAGACCGGTCTGTGGAGAAGGACATGGTGGTGGAGGAGAGGGGCAGCGAAGAGAGGAAGGTGCTTGGCAGGATGGTTGGCTCCACACAGAACAGCTGTGAGGATGGCGCAGGACCGGGCAGTGGTCTGTTCTGTTGTGCACGGTCAGAACTGACTCCACGACACCTAACAACCACACAACCCCGGATGCGATTCAGACTGAATGCTACAGTCTTTCCCCTTCCTCAGGAGGGGCTCCGAGTCACCTCCATTTGGGGCAGGCTAGGTTATGTCACCTGGCTTATGCCACAGGTTACGTTCCAGGCTGCCAGGGAGTCTTCCTCCCATCGCACAAGGCCACATTCTTCTTCAGCACAGTTTCTCAGACCACATGCTCAGCCTACACACTGGATGAGAAGATACGTCTTTCCACTTTCAAGCGACACGCTAGTCCCTTATTCAGTTAGAATGGCTATCTCCTGGTCTATGCAAAGGGTCCCCAAGAGCACAATTAAGTGTTCTGGAATAATTCCCACATATGGAATCACACAACTGAATGCCTTCATACAGGTAAACGTATTTCTGGTCACCTCACTTACAGCCAAGATCTATGCGACATAAGTGATAATATCAATCATTCCATGTCTCATTTTTGAACTTCTGGCAGTTCCCTGTTCTTGTACAACGAAAGCCACTTTAAAATGATCTTCAGTAAGATTTTGCAAGCATCTTATATTAATCATATCATAATGTCTACATTCCATTTGATTATCTTTCTTAGAAACGGGCATGAATATGGATCTCTTGCAGTTGGTTGGGCAAGCACCAGTCTTCCAAATTTCTTTTGTTCCCCCTCCACTGCCACCTCCTTCTCCCAGAGTAGCTGGTGGGCTTCCAGATTCCTGGACAAGGGGGAGTCAGCACTCCGGGGCTGCCGCTGCTTAGTGAAGCATTTCGGTTGGCGCTCCATCCGTGCCCAGAGCCTTGTTTGTCACCTGGGCCTTCAGGGCAGCTTGTACTTCTTCCTCCAGTGGCAGCAGTTAACCCTACCCCTCCCTGCCAACAAGTCCATTCCGACTCACAGCACCCCTGTGCACAGCGTGGAACTGCCCCCGTGCCTTTCTGAAGCTGTGTCTTTTTATGGGAACCCAAAGCCTCATCTTTCTCCCATGGATCAGCTGGAAGGTTTGAACTGCTGGCCTTGTGGTTAGCTAGCCAACGAGTAACCCACTACACCACGAGGGATACAACTTCTATGAACGTCCTTTTTGTTTTTTGATACAGTGACCCTGACTTCCTTCCATCTCCTTTTGAAGCATCCTGCATTGTGCAATGTTGTGCCCGTGGAATCTTTCAGTAATGTAACTCGAGGCTTTGATGTTCTCTTCAACTATTTCCCACTGGGAAATGCCAATCCTGCTCTCTGCTTTTGGTGTTCTAGCCTGAAATCTATGACATTCCGTTAGAATACTTGACTTCCTGTCTTCTTGAGGTGCTTTTAGACATCTGTTCAGCTTTCATGTAATTCATCATTTCTTCTGTTCACTTTCTCAATCAAAACTCAAACTCCCCGCCATCAAGTTGATTCCAACGGGATAGGGCAGTCCTGCCCCTCTGAGGTTGTAACTTGGAAAGAATTACGTCTTTCTCTCAGGGAACAGCCGGTGGCTTTGAACTGCTGACCTTGCACTTAGCGGCACACTACACCACTTTAGCTATGGAGACATCCAAGTTGGTCTGTTCTTCCTTTCGTGTCTTTTTAATGACATTTAATTATTTAGAGCCATTCGTCTCTTCAACAATCAAAGCAAATAAAGGTCAAGTCCAACTCAGAGAGACAATGTCGGGCAGGGTAGACTAATGTTATGAGGGGAGAAAGCCCCATCTTCCTCCCACAGAACAGATGGTGGTTTTGAACTGCTGACCTTGCAGTTAGCAGCCCAATGAATAATGGCCACACCACACAAAGCCTATCGGCTGAGCAGGAAACATGAGCGAGGTAGGAGGGAGGCCTCAGAGATGGCCATCTCTCCTACTGATGGAACCAACGTGATTTCTTCCGTGGACCCTTTTGCTGTTCTCAAAGCCTTCACTGCCGACGGCCTTTCTCTAACATGCTCTACAATCAATTGTGATGTGGGTTATAGGACTCTGTGAATATATTAAATACCACTGAATATACATTCTAAATGAACAAAGTATATATGGTATATTATTTATATCTCAATCAAGTTGTTATAAAACAACAACAGCATAGATGCAAAGCCCCCGATGCCACCCCCGTGCGCGTCTGAGACTCACTTGGAAGCCTTCATGGAATCATCTGCCCAGCCTCCTTGCCGACGGGGAGGCTTTGGAGGAGGAGCCTATGGGGAGAAGCCAAAACAACA